GATTGGGGTAGACAAAAGCTTCTTTTCAGTCATATTAAGTTTGAGGTGCTATTAGAAACACAAAAGATGTCAAGTTAGCAGTAGGATATATGAATCTAGTGTATAGGGGAGAAATCTAGGCTGGAATGGGTTGAGATTACCTGTAGGATATATAGATACATGAGAAAAGAGGTCTGTTAGTCTGAGCTTGGGGACACTTTAGTAATTAAACATAGCTTGTAGGAGAAAGAACCAGCAAGGTGGTGTAAACCCAGAAAATATGGTGCCACAGAATTCCTGATAATACTTGAAGAGAGAGATAGTAGTTAACCAAGGCAAATGACACTGAGAAGCCAAGTAAGCTTAAAATGGAGAATTTACTGTTGGTTTCTACATTGGTTGGTTTTAAGATCCCTTTTACAAGTGTGGGGACAACAGCTTGATCGGAGAGTAAAGAATGGGTGGTGTGGAGACAAAGGCAAGGTGAAAATGGAAGCAGTAAGATTTTGGAGGTAAGGGGAGTCATGAAGTGGTGTGGTAACCAGAGAGAAAATGTATCCAAAGGGAGTTGTTTGATTTGTTTTTAGAGAGTCTTAATTAAGATTAGTGTAATGCTAATATTTATAATCCTGTGGATCAGAATAGACTGATGATATAGGAGAGAGAGTTGCTGTTTAGAGAAGGAAACTGCTTGAGAAGGTAAGAATGAGAGGGACCTAGGACGCAAGTAATAGGGCTGGTTTCAGATTATGGGCTGGGACAATTATTCTATTATTATAGAAGAGATGGCAGAAAAAAATAAAAACATAAGTGGTTTAGTAATATTGGTGATAAAAAGCTAATGATTAAGTTCTAATTTGATTGCATATATTTTCACTCTGAAATTTGTTGTGAAAGAGAAATTAGCTGAAAAATGGAGCATGGACAAGGAATCATGTAGATTTGAGGAGAGAAGAGAAGGTATTTAAAAGTTGTCTTAATTAATGGAAAATTTTTTCCAGGAAATAGTGATAGTATTATCTGGTAGCAGTGAGAGCCCCAGTGAAATTTTGATGATGCATTTGAGATAAGTACTATGAGCAATGTGGTAAAATTTTATCCATTCACTGCTTAGATGAAGATGTAGAATAAAACAAGAGATAGATTTAACCAGGGTTGGAGTTTTGTCAGGAAAATAATAAAGGAAACCGAAAACATGTTGAGTGTTTGCAAAATAATTCGTTATGGTGCTTGACCAAAGACTCTAGGCAGGTTAAGTTTCAAAATGTTGTGAGTTGGAAGTAATAGCTATTGAAAACAGTGAAAGAGTCAATTGATATGGAGTCTCCACAGCTTGAATGATTGGTGAAGTAAGAACACTAGAAAAAATAGAATGTAATGGCCAAAAAGTGTAAAATAAAAATGTTACGGGAAGAGAAATTGGTTATAATGAGCTCTAGGATATCATCATGTGAGGGGATGACTACTAAATAGGGAAGAGAAAAATACCATTCATACTAAGGAAAGTGAAAGACTGGAAGGGTAAGTTGTTGATGAAAGCACAACTAATTTGCTTAAATGTTTCTTGTTCTTTGATGCTTTTCAATCCTATTTACATAGTTGTTGCAATAAGAATTAATTGACAGGTGGTTAGATCTGTCAACCAAATAGAAATTGAGAGGTAACTTCTGCTTAATTATTCTGAGTCTAGTCACTAATCTACTCTATTCATTTCTCGATCAGAAATACCTTGGCTAAATTGATGTGAAAACCTTGAACTCTTTCATTTAACCTAGATTTATTTGAAGAACCTCCACAAGTAATCCAGGCTATGAAACAGCAGCTTCTAAGTTTCCCACCAACAGAAGTTACAACATGACTCTTAGTTAAGCTTCTGTGCAGTCGACTGGGATAAATCTCAGCTAACTGACATTCCAGTTTTTCTACTTAGGTCACACAGCAAAGGAACCATAAAGTGTCTAAGAGCACACACAATAGACTGCCCCTGAGACATCGCAGATTTCTATGGGAACTAGAGAAAATATACTTAAAAACTGCCTCTCAAATGTAGGTGAAAAATTAATAATAATAATTAATAGTAGTAAATACCCTTACTTTTTAAGCTTACTATAATGGACACCTGTTGTTTAACCTCATTAGAATTCATTCACATTTATTTTGGTAACAACTCCTGCTCTCCTGGTTCTCACGCAGTCTAGGTATTTTGTTGTGTGGAGCTGCTCAATCCATAGCTCTAGGGCAGGCCCAAGACCCAGAGAAGTTGAATTAGGTATAGATATGTGACAAAAGTTGCTCCAATAATTACCCTAGGATAATTCTTTTAATTTAACTGGAACTAAGGGGAAAAAGTAGCTCTCCTTCTCTTCGGTTGTCAAAGCTAGCTAAGTGTATCCATTAGGATACATCTAGTTATGATAATCAGAAAATCCTGACACAGTTAGCTTACAAAATAAAGAAAAAGTCTTACATAATGTAAAATCCATAGGTAAGAAAATTCTCCCGGGACATTTGGGAGCATTTCTTCTAATTTCTCCTCAGTTTTCTTCTCCCTTTATTTATGTTTTTCCTCAATTTACCTTCTGAGCAGTAAACGACTAAGTCACATTATCCTACAACATCATAAAAAGCCAAAAAAAAAACTTCTTTCTTGGGTCTCATTTAAGGACTGAAGAGAACTTCCCAGAAGGCCCCAGTAACCTGTTCAAAATGCCAGAAGTGTAACACAAGCCAATTCTAAAAACAATCTCTGACAAGGGAAATGGAGCCACCAAAAGTGGCTTACATTATTAATCAAAAACTTCCTCTTCTTTGTGAAGGAGTGGATGTCTGAAGGAAAAAACAAACAAACTGAGTTAGCAAGGAAGAACTATGTGCATAGCTGGGAATAGGCTATGATAGTGTCTGCTTAATGGTTGAGAATAAAGTCAGCACAGAGGAAAACAAAGGCAAGGTTATGGAGTGATGCCCGCATACGTACTTTAGGAATTTTTAGATTACAAGATCCAACAAATTCCTTTCATGCTTAAGCCCCATAGATCCAGGCTTTGCTATCTGCAACCAAGAGTTCACTGGCTAATATGCTTAATCAAAGCATTCCTCTGAACCTCGCAAGTCTTTATATTTATCCATATGAACTATAAAAATCCTTCAGGATTTCCTATCTCTACTCTTCTTTATCTTTATATATACCCTTAAATTCTTAACCATCCATTATAACTATATTTCAAACATCATTTTTTCACAAAACATTTCAAAAAAATCTTAATTTAGGGTGGTTTCTTCTTCACCTGAACTCAAGAGCCACTATTTGACTAGAATTTAAAATTTAAACAGCCTTAAAGATAAATATTTTAATTATTCTCAAACTACAGAAAAAGAAAGCAAAGAGAGATTATGTGACTTGTACAATGTCTAAATTAGAACCTGGGTTAACACCAAGATTCATACACTTTCCCTCTCTACCTCTCAGGTGTGCCTCATTGCACCACCCCACTGTCATGTGGTCTCTTGACATGTCAATCGAGTCTTACTCAACTTTTTGTTTTCTATGGTGCAAGTATTATGCTTTGCACATAATAACTTTTAAATAAATATTGGGCTAATTGCACTGCTTGGTTTGATATGTAGATCTAAAATTATCAATGATTGCTGATTGGATAACAGTAGCTGTTTCTTTATGTAGGTAGACTTTAATAAACTACATTCTGTACATCAAAAGCAAATCCCCAATAGTCACTGCCACTGATTTGTAAAAATCCATCCAATGCAGTCTTTGGAAAGCAAGATAATTGACAAAAAAGAATGTTTCAATATAGAGTTTCAATGAAGTAAATACCACATTCAAGGAAGAGAAGATTGCAGGAAATTAATTTCATTTCATCAAACACAGAGTTGAACACTGGTTAAGAGAATAGCCTGAGTCTGTGAAATTAAACCCAACAACTAGATTTTAAACCTCATTTGATCTTTGTCAGATAAAACTAGTATTTGTGACATTATAAAGTTGAGGTGCTGCATATCAGAAAAAAAATGAAAGAGATACTTCTCTCTTTAGATAAGCTATTTGGGAATTAATAAAGAAAAAAGGAGAAATTTCCCTAAATTTTTAAGGCCTTAAATTTAAGATATACATCATTAACATAGCCCAGTCCATTGATTTACTGATGAACAGTATCCACACTATATGATGCAGTCAGGAAGGATTCACTTTCTTTAAGTGAAATGCTTAAAGTAACAATTTATCACATTCTTCCATATTTTTTCATGTTTCTATAAAGTTTAAAACCATAAACAAACAAACCAAGCATAACTCTTCAACATGTGTGAAAAGAGCTTACACACTCTTTATAGATAATGTTTTTAGTGAGTAATAAATGAGCAATGAGAAGGCAAGAGCAATAAAATAGGAGATAAGGTACCAACCCTTCATTACCTATTATTCTAGGAATTTGTGCTGATTTCAACATAGACTTGCCTTAAAGGCACATTCTCTCTTTTTTCAGGTCATCTTTAACTTCTAGTTATTCTCTCAGAAGTAAAGTTATATTTTTTGTCATTACTATCTTTTTCTTTATTCTGCATAGTGTAGAGCCTCTAAATCTAATAGCTATTAGTCACAGTAAAGTAAGCAAAATTCAGTCATGAACTTATAAGTGTATCTGATTATATGCTGTGCTTCAAACAGAAAATCTGAAGATTAAATCATTCATAGAAAATGCTATAGAAGATTAGGTATATAAGTAAATGGATGTTTATAGAGATAGATGATAGGTAGATATATAGATGACAGGTAGATAGATAGACAGATAGGATAGTACAAGCCCTATTACCTATCTTCCTCAATAATATCATATAATCTTTTTCTCCACCAATAAATATTTTCTAATATCCATCTGTTATCTTGTGTGTGTTTCAAAAGTTTAGAAGAAAACACCACTTACTAAGCAATTAAAAAATTTTTTTAATTAGAAGCTTTTATTTATTTCAACCACATTGACCCCCTCAGGTCTAGAAACACTTACTGTTCCTTGCATTAGCAGAGGAGAGTCTGTTCCTTCCTCTTTAAAACTTGATTCCATACTGATTATATCCTCAAAAACGTTCTCCATCTAGCAAAATATAATACATTTAGAATAATGTGTATAATGATAAAATTTGTGCTTCATCCTGAATTTGGAGAAAAAAAATTTAGTAATCATTAATATTTAAAGTTATATGTATATTAAAACCCAGACTATTTTAGAACTTAAAATGAGGTAATCCAGATACTCTTTGATTTATGTTGCTTTTTTTTTTTTTTTTTTTTTTTGCGTTTGCATCCACCAACTGGAAGGTGATGGCTGGGCACATCACCCTCGATTAATCCCTTGGAATCAGTATCTACATATGTACACTGTTTATCATAAAGTACCTCAAGCCACAGCCCATATCCTTAACCTATAGAAAGATGACTTCCTACAAACCTTATTTTTCTTTTAAAATGTTTTGAATGCATCTTACGGATGGATATCCAAATATCAGTGGTTAAATATGAATACTAACTACATGGAAAGATATTCAGCTTTCCATAATAACCAATAATAATAATATAATAACAATAATAGACACCTTAAATAGTAATGATAAACATTTCTATAGTATAGATGTGCTGAGCACTGTTCTACCTGCTTTGTATACATCAGCTCATTTTATCTTTACAATAACTCTATGAAGTGGATATTATCATTATGTCCATTGTAAAGATGAGAAACTGAGAGAAAATAAAGTTTAATAATTTGTAGCTAGTAAATGACAGGCAGGATTGAAATCCTGGAAACCTGGCTCTATAGTCCTAATTTAAATAAGCTTTCTACTCTCTCAACTCCTTTATAAAATAGCTTTTCTTTCTTTCTGTACTTTAGCTGGAGATGTACAAAGCTTATATGTTTTAAATACCATGCTTGCAGGCCCCTTCACTTCTCTTTAGCTTTACTAAGTCTCTTACTTCTCATTATGTCTGTTTAGGGAAATTTTAAAATATGATGTAAACAGAGTGAGAATGCTAAATTTATATAACTTTTAATACTTTGTTTCCCAGGATGTGCAGAAACAACAAGGAGTAAATTCTGGGAGATATATATATATATATATATA